TCTTTTCAACAGTGTCTATACTGGTACATATTGATGTAGGTGAAAATAGAAAATAAGATCAAAAGATGGCTGGAGACCATAAAGGGGCTTAAATCATAAGGACAGATCATATAAATAATACATTCTTAAAGAAATAAGATGATTTCTTATAGGTCAGGTATGAACAGTTTTAAGAAGGGGAGTGATATAAAGTGTTCCACTTTAGAATGAGTACTTTGGCAAATATGAGAAAGAGGTACTGGGCTAGAGGATGATGCAGATGGCAGTAGGGTGCAGTGGGGTTGGAGAATAAAGAGTTGTGAAATAGAAGGTACTAAGCTAAATTAAGAGAAGAGGTCCAGGAAGGCTTTAGAGAGGAAAAATCCTCCTTCACTGACTGAGAAATCTGTCTTGCTCAGGGAGCTTGCTCTTCCCTCATACATGTGCTAGAGATGAACAGAAGCTTCCTGTTTATGGGATAATCCAGTCCAGTTGTCCAGTAAGGTCAATAGTTGATGCTGGCTTCTGGGATCAGGTGGGAGAGGGGACTCTGCAGGAGACAGAGGCACCAATGAGAGACTGGAGTGGTGGACCTACGCAAAGAATTTAGGTCAAGACAGCCTTATCTCTCATTCATCTGTACAGAAGATCTGTCCCTATATGACAGGAAATATTCTGTTACCTTCTTTGCTCACCCTTCAGCCCTCTAGAGATTCTGAAAGGGCTTAAAGTTTGATAACAGGGCTCTTGAGAGGAAAACATTACATGTGTACATGATTTGGAGGATTCTAAAAAGACCTATGCTTAAGCAGAGACTCTAAGGGATAGCAGATCAACAGTATCATTTTATTAGCTATGAGACATTGGGCAGCACATATAAACTTCACTGAACTGGTTTCTCCTTTATTTTTTATTTATTTTTTTCACAATCTTTTTTGTTTTGTTTTAGCTTTTTTTGTTTTTAGTTTTTATTTATTTATTTTTAATTCTTTTTTTGAGGGAGCGATTATTAGGTTTATTTATTTATCTTTTTAGTGGAGGTATGGGGATTGAACCCAGGATCTTGTGCATGCTAGGCATGCACTCTACCACTGAGCTATACCTTCCCCTCTTGTTCTGTTTGTTTGTTTGTTTGTTAATGGAGGCTCTAGGGAATTGAACCTAGGACCTGGCGCAGGCTAAGCATGGGCTCTATCAAGGAGCTATACCCCCATCCCTAAAGGTTTCTCCTTTATACAATGAGTTTACCACCATCTACCTGTATGAAACTACAATGAAATTATTTCTGAATGAAGTTGTACTCTGAAGATTATAAAGAACTATAAAAATGTCAGTTATCTATATTGAGTTACTTTTATCTTATCTGAAAATGTGTTTTAAAGATTATACTTGGTAATACTATACTTAACGTGAATGTTTTCCCACAGAAATTGGTTACCTTATTTATGAATAAAATAAAATCATATTCAAGTATGGGAAAAGAAAAATTCAAGACTCTTTTCTCTGTTCGACAAATATTCTGTGAACAAAAAATGAATCTTTTAATATACAGTGTTCTCATTATCATGAGTAATCACAATGAAATTGATGATCAGAACTCTGTAAGATTACTTATATGCTCCCTTCACCCTGCCAAATACACACACACACACACACACACAGAGCAAAGAAGGACTTGACAAATTTGGCTGGCAGGAATTTGATTTGTGGGCAGTGAAGATGGTCAGGTACGAGAAGAGATAACTGGGGTCTTAGGCTTCTCCTCAAGTTCTCATCGGTGATTTTTACCCGACCCAGAAGAACAGAATAGTTTGATTAAAACAAAACAAAACAAAACAAGCTATTTTTCTCATGACATTAAAAACAGGCAGCAAAACCACTGGCCACATTCTCACCTATTTGGGAAGTGACAGAAACTTAAAGTTACTCCCTATTTATCTAACATCTTCAACTGAAGTCTCCAAACACTTTGAAAATATTAATTAAGCCTCTCAAGTCAGGAAAGGATTAGGCCCATTTCAGATAAGAAAAAGTAGGTAAGAGGCTGTTAACAATAAGAAAAAACTAGATTCTAGTATCCTTGGCTCTCTCAATGATGTCCTTAGGCCACACTTGATGAAACAACCCAAACAATAGCATCCCCAATAATGCTAACAAGCCTATGCTTTTTAAAGTTTTGAGAGGAAAGAATACTGACCTTGGTTGGAGGTAAGACCAGTGTTCCAAGCCTGGTTTCACCACCAACTAGTTATGTGACCCTGAAGAATTCACTTAATTTAAATTTCAGTTTCCTCCTCTGTAAAACTAGATCAAATCTACCTTACAATATTGTAAGTATCAAATTATGTATGTCTGGCACATATATACTCAGATGCCACCTTACTCACTTCTCCCATACTTCACCTTCTTTAAACCTGCAGATAACACATTTAAAAATTACATTAAAATCGTTATAATTTTTAAACTAATTTAAAAAATAAACTCTGAATGACAGTAGTCCAATGCTTGATTAAATAAGGAATGGCCCAATTCTTTTATAAATTTCAAATCAGCCACGGTTTAGAGTTGTTATCATCAAGACTGTAAATTAATTCCTGTCCATTTTTATCGATGTGAGCAAAGACCGAGACTGACTTCAGAGAAATAAAAAACAAAAAAAGAGAACTTTTCTAGAAGAATCAGTGATGCCTCATGTCTCAGTAAAATTCAAGGAAACTCACATTTCAAAAAGGAATTAATATACTATTCCAAAATTAACCAAGCAGTGTTCTCTTCAGTAAACACCCCTTTGGTTCAGAGAACAGATGAATAATGTCTGTAAAACTTGAATATCATATAAATCAACCTCTTAAGGCCACAAAAATCACCAGGTCACCAAATACAAGCAAACTTTTCCAAGAGTCTACAAGGTTCTTTCTGATATTAACTGAAAGTGAAAGTGACCTACCATAGACAAACACCCCAACCTTTGACCACAACACTTCAAAGTAATTTAGAAACCCCATCTCAGTGAGTTTAAGTAACACACTTATCTCTAAACAAGTTTGGCAGAATAGAAAAATAGAAAAAATTAACTCTTCTTACTCCCCTAGACACTCTAAGACAGCTTCTTTTGAAGAAGACAAATAGCATCATGGAAATTTTAAAACAGCCTTGATACATGGGCTATAATTAAAATCCCTTCTTAACTCCTTTGAAGGAAAGGAATATCCAGCTTTTTACTAGGAGTCCCTAGCATCTTTTTGTCCCCAAAACATGACACACAAGAATAAAATGATCTGTCCAAGGTCACAGAGCAGGTAATGGCACAGTCTGATACCCCTCTTTGCTGCATATAACCATTCATGTGATGTATTAACAATTACACACAGATTTTAAAAAATGGGGTCCGGGGGGGTGGTCTCCACTGAATGCTCCAGATAGCGAAATCTGGTGGTTTTGCCTCTGCAACTACTGCATATTTTCTTACCGATCTTAAATATTCAGCACAAGCGGTGCATCATCAAGAACTCTAGATCACAGGGGCTGGAAAACACATTTTCTCCTTCCATAGCAACCTCTGGGCACTCTTCTCAGTGCTCCATTGCTTCTCTGGACAAAGAAAGGTCTATCCACTCCTCACCATGCCCATGGCATGAGTGTAAGAACTACAGGGGGCCTCCCAACAGCTTGGCAAAGAAGACACACAATACACAATGCCCCCAGAGCTTGGCAGTGAGCTGTCCTTCCCCTCTAGTGCCATTTCAGTCACCTGCATCCCAACTTTCAGCAGTGGTGGTCAGGAAGAACATAGCTTCTCCTGCAACGGTGCTAATAAGTCCCTAGCCAAATGGACACACCCCTCCAAAGCGCTGCCCACTCGGAATGATATTCCCATTCCGTTCTTTGCCATCTAGCCCCTCCCCACCCTCATTAAGAGATAGCCCCTACCTCTGACCAGAGGGGCAGTCACCCGACCAAAAACTGCCTCTCCCTGCCTCCTGACTTGATGGACAGCTCCCTTCCCTTCATCAACGGCTCAGCCCCCACCTCAATCCCTTGGGCAGGGGTGGGGTATTGGATGCGCTCACTCCACTTGTCTGGGCTTGCCGATGGTTACTAGTTACCACCTCGCCGCAGTTGCCTTCTTGCCCTCGCTCCACGCTGGGACACATATACACATACGCGCGCGCACGCACACACACGCAGCGCGGAGGACCGCCCCTCGGGGCCGGCCACACACGGGGTCCAGCCTCAGGCCACAGGTCCCCTCCGCCGTGGCCCCC